GGCTGCGAGCGGCTTTCAATCAGGCCCAGCCGTCCAATCAGCCGTGCCGCACTCTGCATGGGGGAAGGGGGAAATCCTGGACCTTTCTACTTCATTAGAAATCCCCCCCCGACGGCCATTTAAAGCTGAAAAAGCCGGACATGTCCGGGGAAACCCGGACGGATGGTAACCCTACCCCTGGCTCTTTCCCATTACACCTGTGTGTGATCATGCAGGATGTTTGTTTAAGCTTCGCCTGTTTGCATGAGCTGGCCCCTTAAGGTCAGGGACAGTGCAATGACTTTGTAGGCAGTTCTCAACCTTTTTCTTTCTGAGCCTGCACCCTCCAACATGCTATAAAAACTCCCCAGCCACAACAATTATTTTTCCACATATTTAAGCCAGGGCTGGCATTAGGGAGTAGCAAGCAGGACAATTGCCTGGAGCCCCACACGGGGCCCCGTGAAACTAAATTGCTCAGGCTTCGGCTTCAGCCCTGGATGATCGGGCTTCAGCTTTCTGCCCTAGGCCCCAGTGAGCTTAATGCCGGCCCTGCTTTGCGGACCCTCTGAAACCTGCTCGCAGCCCCCCAGGGGGGCTCAGATCCCTGGCTGAGAACTGATGCACTAAGGCGGGGGTTCCCAAACTGTGCACCACAGCCCAAAGATGGGCCGCGACACAGTCCAGCATGGTCTGCCAGTGCAACGACATTCTCCAGTCAAGCTCTTAGTAAAGCTTTAACTCCACGTGACTTGTGTAATCTAAGTAACAGTTATGTAAATGTGATGTTTTGAGCTGATGATGTTGGACAGAGTATAGAAAAAACATTTATTGTTTTAATGTATTTATTTATATAAACCAAGCTGCACTATGTCACGTTTAATTTTCATGAGAACAATGGTGTGTTTTACTGCAACGTACACATGGAGTCCATCATTTATAACGGTAGAAAACAGCAAGCAGTATTTCAATCTGACATGGAAGATTTATTTTTAAAAAATGAGAAGGATACACTGGTGGAGAAGATAATGAAAGTCCTGGACCATCTACAGCTACACAAAAGGAATCATAGAAGATTAGGATTGGAAGAGACCTCAGGAGGTCATCTAGTCCAACCCCCTGTTCAAAACCCCAACTAAACCATCCCAGCCAGGGCTTTGTCAAGTCAGGCCTTAAAAACCCCTAAGGAAGGAGATTCCACCACCTCCCTAGGTAACCCATTCCAGTGCTTCACTACCCTCCTAGTGAAATAGTGTTTCCTAATATCCAACCTAGACCTCCCACATTGCAACTTGAGACCATTGCTCCTTGTTCTATCATCTGCCACCACTGAGAACAGCTGAGCTCCATCCTCTTTGGAACCCCCCTTCAGGTAGTTGAAGGTTGCTATCAAATCCCCCCTCACTCTTCTCTTCTGCAGACTAAATAAGCCCAGTTCCCTCAGCCTCTCCTCATAAGTCATGTGCCCCAGCCCCCTAATAATTTTTGTTGCCCTCTGCTGGACTCTCTCCAATTTGTCTACATCCTTTCTGTAGCGGGGGGCCCAAAACTGGACACAGTACTCCAGATGTGGCCTCATTAGTGCCAAATAGAGGGGAATGATCACTTCCCTCGATCTGCTGGCAATGCTCCTACTAATACAGCCCAATATGTCAATGAGCCAACCAAAATATATTCTATATATGACACATACTTGAAGTTTGGATTCTCCTTTCCTGGACCGGATGAGTTCCTGTTGCCTCAGTTATAATACAATTGTTCTTTTATATTTTTATTTACAATATTTGATTCTTTTCTAATTAGTAGAGTGTAGGATTGGGTCTTTACTTACACAACACAGAAATTCAGATTTTACACCCCCCAAAAATGTAAAACACAATATAAAGTTCGACAACTCTTTTGATTTAAAATCAACAAATAGTAACGCAGTGTGTATTTTTTAATAATTTTGTTAACAGGGTTGTGTTGCTTATCGTTCAGTGTTATCCAAAATTGTGTGTTCCCTGTCTGAATGCTACATTTTGCTCTCAACATGTTTTTAACGTGTCGTTTTGCTGAAACTGTGTGATTTCAAAGATGCTGAAGCATTTCTTTGAGTGCCTGTTGCTAGGGATTTCTGTCATTACAATTGTTCACATTAAAGTGAAACAGAAACATGCACATGGTCTATTTACAGTGTTAGAGTTTCTATGTGTGTAATAATTAAAACGAATAATAATAGTCGGTTGCAGTGCCTGTTGCAGCTGCAGAGGCGGGCCTCGGGGAACCCCTGCTCTACACTGCATTTGGAAGCTGCCTCCCAGCCCAAGGGGGGACAGACTCAAGGTAGCTTTGCTCAAGCTAGTACACTGGAAATAACAACCAGGACAGGAGGGGTAGCTCAGTGGTTTAAGCATTGGTGTGCTTAAACCCAGGGCTATGAGTTCAATCCTTGAGGGGGCCATTTAAGCATCGGGGGGAAACAAACAAAAACTGTCAGAGACAATACTTAGTCCTGCTAGTGAAGGCAGGGGACTGGACTTGATGACTTTCAAGGCCCCTTCCAGTTCTATGAGATAGGTCTCTCTCTCTATGGGCAATGGCACAAGCTAGCCAATTGAATACAGACCTAGGGGGTGGATGGGATTGTACTCAACAGGCTAGCCCATGTGGCTGCCTATGCATGTAACATTCTGGAGTTTTCAGTTCTCCCCACACCATTGATTGATTGATTGATTGATTTATTTGGGTGTGACGTTGCACTCCATACACTTTATGGAAATAGGCTTATGAATATGACATAACTAGAATATGCTTCACGCTAAATACCCCTTGAATGGTGTCATTAGCAAGCTTGTAATCTACTGAGTGCGTTCACTCTATTTGTTTCCTATCCCTGTGTTATTCTGTGTGTGCAACTGGCTCTGTGGGTGTATGTCTGTGTGTCTCTGGGTCCATGTGCGTGGTGTGTCCTTGTGTAACTGTCTCTGTGTGATGCGCGTAACTGTGTCTGTGTGCATCACGCTTACCACCCCTCCTGGCAGCCTCCTCTCCCTGCTGCTGCCCCATCCGCTCTCGCCTTCCCAGCCAGATGCCCTTTGTCCTCCCTATCTCCATGCCCATAAGTGTTTGAATAACACAGGACAACAGGAGTGAATCTGAGCTCCCTGGTGCCCCCATAGCGGCCAAACCCCTAACCCCACAAAAGGACCACAAAAATCGGGAGCCAGAGCCGGAGCAGAACTGTTAATCTTCTAACTGAGCCCAGCCCAGTGTCACAGAAAGGAAGAGGGCGGGACTCAGCTGTATAAGAGGCGGTGGTGACTAACTTTGTTTTTACTTTCCCCTTCGACATGCTTTCCTTCTCCGTCCCGGGAACCTGCAAATGAAGACGCAGAGAAATCACTCCGTGGCTGATTGAGTACAGAGGTGGTGCGAGTGGCCATGGAGGTCCTGAGGGCCAGGGACAAGAAGGACCTGGGAGACAGACTACTCCAGACGGCGAGGACAGGTAAGTGGGGAGCTCTCAAGAGGTGATTGTCCGCTCCCTAAGGGGGATCTTGTCTATAGGTCTCCTTGTACAGGAACTGCCTGCTTATCGGCCTGCCAGGCAGAGAAATCAGCAATGCTGCTGGCTTCCTGGAACAGTGTGAAGGGCAGAATTATGCAGTTCCTTCCCAAGCAAGACTGCCACTGGGTGTCGTGGATCCACAGGGGTTTAGACACCTAACTCCCCCGCTGAGCTCCTCAAAAGGAGTTAGAGACTTCCATTGTACCACCAAGGACCAGTACTTGACAGTTTGCTTCTCCCAGCGCAACCCCCATCTCTTACTTCTCCTTTCTCTTACTTCTCCTTTAGCAAATGGGAAATTAACCCCTTCACACCCAGTGGGGAATCATCCTGAGTGGGGAAACAGAGTCACACTTAAAAAAAATATTACAGCAATTTCCCACATGCACTACACAGGGAAATTCTGCATCAGACAGAGGCACACACCAGAGAGAGACCTAACATTTGGGGGGGACGGGGCGGAGGAGAGAGACACAGGGCAGATCTATTCATACTGCAAAGGAGGGAAAGAGAGAAGGGGTGTTGGAAAGGGATGACGAGGGAGAGAAGAAGGCCTGTGTATGGGGCGAGATAGATGTGGGGCTACTCACACTCTGAGGGAGGAGTCCGACATCCAAGGAACGTTATTTCTTGCTCCACCAATCCAACAAGGAAGCAAACATTCTCCTTCTTATGGGAGAGGGTTTGTTTCTATCTCCCCCTCTCACCAGTTCCTCATTGCGACATCCATTGCTTCAGCTATGGGTCACCCCAAACCTTCTCCTGATAGCTCCCAAAGCCTGTCCTTGTGGGGGAGCGGCTCGCTCGGGCGGAGCCCCTGAGGGGCAGGAGCCGAATCTCTCTCCTCCTTCTCTCCCTCCCTCTCCCAGTCTCTCCTGCAGCTACAGGCACAGGTGCAGGAACTAGGAGTGCGGGGTTACAGCAGCAGGCCCTGGTGTTATGTGGGGCTCTGCTCCCGGCCCCACCCAGGGGCCCAGCTGTCGGTCCTGTGCCTGGGGCCCGCCTCAACACCCTTACCCTGTCTACATCTCCCCCTTCTGGATCACAGTCCTACTCCCGGCACTGGCTTAGGGGTCAGGGGGTGCAGACAGGGGTAAAAAGTTTGGGGACCTCTGCTTTACAGTATCACTGGCTTACAACTCCCCCACTATAAAAAAGTGTTCCAGCGCCACTGGCTACAGGTGGCGCCCAGCAGCGCCCAGCCCAGAGACACGGGTGGGTTGACCTTTGCCCAGCTGTGTCAGGGAGGAGCCATGCACCAGTGATGCAGTTTTGGGGTGATGTTCAAGTCTCACCCTCTAGCCTGTTACATGATTGATGGAGAGCTCTATAACGCTGTGTTAACTGCACCGAGAAGCTGGTTGGCCACGCTGCTCCTTGGTACAAGCTGAGATTGTGCAGTGGAGACTTGGCAAAAGCATTTCTTCTGGTAACTGGAGGGATCCTGGCAGTGGGGGAGGTTGGGCAGGTAGGCTGGGATGGAAGGATGGAGGCGGGATCCCGGAAATGTGGGAGGCAGGTGGCGTGGGGAGCGCAGGCTGCTGGAGTGGGCGGGTTTCAGGAGGGATCCCAGCAGGGGCAGAGGCTGCTCCAGTCCCTTTCTGAGTGAGCTCCCTTTTGTCGCCCAGCAAGTGTAGCCGCCCACATGCCCAGAGATAGACTGACCAGATGTCCCGATAAAATCGGGACTGTCCTGATATTTAACCCTTTGTCCCGCGTCCCTATCAATGTACCATCGGGATGCCATTTGTCCCGATATTCAGGTAAGAAGATGAGCGGGAGGGAGGTGCTGACGCTGTGGGTGCTCCGGGACTGGAGGACCCACGGGGAAAAATTGCAGCCAAACTTCCCCCTCCTCGCCTCCTTCTTCCTCTCTCCCCCCCAGTGCACTGTGTCCCCGCTCCTCCCCCCGCTCCCAGCGCTTCCCACCGCCTAACAGCTGTTTGGCGGCGCTTAGCACTTTCCAGGAGGGAGCAGAGAGGAGCAGGGACGCAGCGCGCTCAGGGGAGGAGGTGAAGAAGAGGCAGGGGAGAGGCGTGGACTTGGGGGAAGGGGTGGAATGGGGCAGAGCAAGGGTGGTGCAGGGGCGGGAAGAGGTGGGGGATGGGCGAGCACCCACCCGGCAGAGGGGAAGTCGGCACCGTAGGGGTGAGTGGCGGGCGGGGGGTGAAGAAGCAAGCGGCGGGGGTGAGGAGGCGAGCAGCAGGCCGGGGGATGAGGAAGGGCGCGGGAGGGCTGAGTGGGGAGGAGGTGGGACCTGGGACAGAGTGGGGGCGAAGTCTAGGAGAAGCGGGGGAGGACTGTGGGCGTGGCTGACGGTACCCCAATGTGTCCTGATATTTTAGTGTTGTGATCTGGTCACCCTACCCAGGGAACACAGGCCAGGCTCATCCAGGGATGAAGGCTCAGGTCAGTCCTGGGGCCAGACACTAGGGTTGCCAACTTTCTAACTGCACAAAACCAAATACCCTCGCCCCTTCCCTGGGGCCCACCCCCACTCACTTCATCCCCCCCTCCCTCTGTCACTCACTCTCCCCCACCCTCACTTTCAGCATGGACAAGGGCTGTGGTGGCCCTGCCTCTTCCCCTCCCTGCTCCGCCCCTTCCCCACCATTGCTACATGTACTTTACCAGGACAATACTGACCAGCAAATTATAAGTTTGTATAAGGCAGACTTCGTACCAAGATTATTACAGTAGTGTGTAGGGTGTGGCTACAGGGCTGTATTCTGTCACGCACCTCTTGAACGTTTCCTTTATAACCATAACAGCTAGAGACTAACTTTTAAAAAATGACTAAGTGGCCTGCTAAACCCAGGGTTGTGAGTTCAATCCTTGAGGGGGCCACTTAGGGATCTGGGGTAAAAATCAGTACTTGGTCCTGCTAGTGAAGGCAGGGGGCTGGACTCGATGACCTTTCAAGGTCCCTTCCAGTTCTAGGAGATAGGATATCGCCATTAATTAATATTTTAAAAAATGGAAGCTGTGACTCTGAAAAACAATTGGGAGGTCAGTCTGCACCTTCACCTCCATTGTACTAGTTCTTTATCCTGCCATCCTCAGCAGGACACGCCCCACAGTCTGGGAAACACCGGGTTAATAGCACTATGGGAGCAGAGTTAAGGATGAGTGTGGGCTGATCACTGAGAATGTTTCTGTCCCAGGCTCTTTGCTAATGCAAGGGATGTTCAGGTTGGTTTCAGGGCTTGGCTACACTCGAAACTCCAAAGCGCTGCCGTGGAAGCGCTCCCGCAGCAGTGCTTTGAAGTGCGAGTGTGGTCGCGTGCCAGCGCTGGGAGAGAGCTGAGGGGATTAGCTCCCAGCGCAGGGGCACGGTTTACACTGGCGCTTTACAGCGCTGTAACTTGCTGTGCTCAGGGGGTGTTTTTTCACACCCCTGAGCGAGAAAGTTGCAGCGCTGTAAAGCCCCAGTGTAGCCATAGCCTCAGATTCTTCAGTCACCTTCGCTTGTGGCTTCCATCATTTTCAGTGTTTGTTACCGCTGTGTTCAACGGTAGCCCCCTCCTTTGAAATGCACTTGGCAACCTCAACTGTAACTTAACCATTTTGTCCATTTGCAGAGGAAAAGGCTGGTGCTTCCCAGATGCAAACTGTCCACATTGTTGATGGGGGCCTGACCCCGCGGAAGCCAACGTGGGTGAGGCCGTCCCAAGCTGTGCTGGAGAACCCCAGCGTCTCCCCGATTCGACTTATTTTGATCTCTTCCACTTTTTCGTTTATTCCAATCTACTCACTGGTGCTGCTGTATTGGTCATTCAGGGCCACAGACAGAACCCTCCACCTCCACCCGATCCCCAAGAACCGTTCAGGAGAAAAGGTAAATAAGAGCCGATAGCAATACACAGTACAGGGAGTCAGAGACAGCACTCTCAGTGCAGGGCAGGCAGCTGGTGTGTGATAACTGAGCCCCTCCGTGCAGTGACACATGAGGGCAATGAACACCTTCGGAGGACAGTGGGTGGTGATGAACCTTACACTCTTAGGGCAGGCCCGGCGGGTAGAGATCGATCTATCGGGGATTGATTTATCGCGTCTTGTCTAGACGCGGATAAATCGATCCCCGATCGCGCTCCCTATCGACTCCAGAACTCCAGCTCGCGAGAGGCGGAAGCGGAGTAGACGGGGGAGCGGGAGCGGTCGACTTGCCGCTGTCCTCATGGCCAGGTAAGTCGACCTAAGATACGCCGACTTCAGCTACATAGTGTAGCTGAAGTTGCGTATCTTAGGTCGACCCCCCACTTAGTGTAGACCAGGACTAAGGGAGCCCGAAGAAAATATATAAGCTGTATCAATTTTCCCCTCCTGCCCCAAACCCAGAGTGTTAGAGCCCTTCTCTGTACCTAGGGTAGAGGGCATTGCAGAAAGGAGTTTGAGAGTTTTTTACCCTGAAATGGAATTGCTTGTGCCACTCAAAATGCAGGAAGGTGGGACAGTTCTAGCTTTCTTCTCTTGCTTCTTTTCGTCCTGATGTAATTGTTAAGCCCCAGAGCCCCTTTTGGAAAAAAACCCTTCAAATTCCCCCCTCCAAATTCCTCCGATTTTTTTTCATCCTTTGATCAATTAACATAACCTCCCGATCTGCTCCTCTTAGAGTTCTTCATCCTCCCCAGGCCTGGGGGGCCTGCAGTGGCCCTTCCATTGCCCGGGGCTGACAGCAGGAGCCCCACTGCCCAGGGATGATAGCTGGACCCCCAGATTCTGTGTGTGTGGGGGGGGGAATTCTGCCTAGAACATTAATTCTGCACAAATTCTGCATTGCACAGTGGCACAGAATTCCAGCAGGAGTCAATGATGCACATGTCTCCATTGCAGAGTTAACCCAAATCTGGGCACTCGGTCAGGTACGTGGGTTTAAAGCACCACTAAATCCAAATGCGAGGTTTCTGTGTGTGGATGGAAAGCAGGTTAGGGCAGCTCCTGGGGAGTAGCCTGGACTAATGCTGCAGTGAAGACACACCTGTAAGAATGGGGTTTAGTCTCTGGCCTCTCTTCTTGCCTCCTTCACCTCCTTTCAGTGTTTGAAGGACTTGGCTCTCTTTAGGGACGGAGAGTGTGAAACACCTGCACCGCTGCAGATGTAATAGAAACAAGATTAAAAAGAGAATTGGATTAAAATAAAAGAAACTGCTTGTGTCATATAACCTGTCTGAGGAATACTTTGCAAGGGCCAGACACATAGGAACCCTTAGCTTAGTTACAATGACAAGGAAGAAAGGACGATGTTACATGTCTAGAAAGCAAACCCCTCCTCTGACCCTCCTGGCCAGTGTCCCCTCACACAGCAGTGCTAGAGAGACCTCCCCCGCCCAGCCACCCACCCAAGCTGCTTATCAAGCTGCTCGTGTTTTCCAAACCAGTTTTCTCCAGTTACACATACAAACACAGTAGGGATGGGAAACGGGTGCATCCTCTTGGAGATGGATCACTGAGGATAAGAAGACCCTTTAATGACAATTAATAGCTCTCTTTCAAATGCTTAACCACCTAACACTGATAGCATATTCCGTAGGTCCTTGTGTCTGGCTAGACCCAGTTTAACAATTTTCTATTGCCATGAGTTGGAAATTATTGACAGACCTCCAGCTCTTTGTCAAATCAGTTATGTAATGGGAACTGGGGCTACAGCTGGGCGAATACCAGATGTTTTGTTTCGTTGGCAGCTAAAAAAAGTTTTTTAAACAATTGTTTCGAGTCCGACTGAAAATGAAAACTTTCACACTTTTCAGTCACTCAAAACCCCCCAATAACCTTGTTTTGGATCAAAACAAAATGCTTCATTTCAGCTGAGCATTTGAAAACATTTTTGAATTTTGAAAATTAAAATAAAAGGCAATTTCAGAAGGAAAGGTTTCATTTTGAAAATGTCAAAATGAAACATGTCAGGGTCTTAGGAATTGTTTTTCCCTTTTTGTGACCAAAAATTCTGCAACATTTACATGAATTCACGAAACATTTCAGTGTTGCTGAATCTGCATTTTTCACCGAAAAATATTTCAGTCGAAATTCACCCCGTTCTAACTGGCATTTGCGGCATTCCCTAAACCTGTTGAATGGAAGCAAGGAGGAAAGAAATAACGTGTGTGTTTGTGTGTGTGTGTTTTTTTCCACCGGATCTCCCATAAATGACTGTGCTAGACCTTTCACAGGCAATTGAAGAACATGAGAAGTGCCAGTCGATTTCTGTGGACAAGCCTCCCCGCTTTGGATCTCGTCATGGTGTGCCACGTGTACCGGAGGCCATGATAAATCCAGCTGTAAGTGAGATTATTTACAGAGCACGGATATAGTGTGGTCCTTGAGAGAAGCCCCATTAAGTATAAGTCTATGGGCTGCCTGGTTCTGCACTAGTTGCCAGTTGCAAATGGCCTTCAAGGGTAGCCACAAGTTGAGCATCTGGCAGGAGGCCAGTCTGGGGGTGACTCGGGGGTGAATTCCTAAACGTTAGAAGAAAATTTGGCAAAAACAAATAAAAAATGCTTCTAGAGCATTGCTGTGAATCTGTTAGGCAGCTGCTGTACGCCAACCCAGAGGTGGCTGCATTTCTGTGGTGGGTGAAGTGATCCCTGCCTTTAACTGGCATTATGGAATAGTTGCAGCAGTGTCAGTCCCAGGATAGTAGAGAGACAAGATGGGTCAGGTAATAGCCACCTCCCCAGGTGTCTCTTTAGTTTGCAAAGCAGTTTTGACTCCTCCTAGGGTAAGAAGCACTATAGGCAGTACATGTAAGCCTGGTATTATTAATTCATTACAGCTTGATCAGTAAATCTGCTGCTCTGCTGATGAGTTTGAGCCCCCCTCCCGGCATCGCTGTTTCTCCCTCCATCCTGCCTGTCACTCCTTCTGCCTGTTCTCTCCATTCCCCCACCCATCACATCCCACTTCTGTCTGTGCTTTTGCCTTCTTCTCCTTGCACCTGGTGACAGCTTCCCCAATGCTCGCTCTTCACTTCATCCCCTTGCCCCCACCCACCTGTCCCTCATGATCCAGATGCTCCAACCTGGTCCCTGTGCCCACCCTTCCTCCGTGTCCCTCCCTTTCCCCTGCTCTCTCTGGAACACCTGCTCCTTCTCTAAAAATATCACCCCCATCCACAGCCTCTTCATCGCCCACTGCCTCCATCTCCCAGCACTCCCAGAAACCTGGATCCTGCTGACTGATACCAGCTGCGCCCTGGATCACCCCTAATGGTCCATGGCAGGGGTGTTGGACTCCTCCCATCCCCCATCACTCCGACCCACAAGCTGCGGATATTTTGGATTCCTCCCTCTCCCTCGCCTCACACACTTGGGCTATTTATAAATCTCACCGCTTCTTCCTCCTCGGTCTTAAAGCAGTTTTACTTCTAACGCGTCATCTCGCCTTTGTATTAGGATTTGAAATTTACCTACATCGGACCTAAGAGGAAGCCCTACACCAGGCACATGGAAGAGGGAACGCAGCTCAGCTTGACAAAGCAAAAATACTTCACAAGTGAAAGAGAAAGGGAATCTCTCTGGACTGCCTTTCTGAGAGCAGGTAAGCTCAATGGGATGCTGCTTTGATCCATGGTTTAAGCATTCTAACTCCTTAGTGTTCCTGGGTAATAGCCATGCTGTGTGATGTGTGCACTCAACCAGCGGTCACAGGTTTGCTGCGGACAATAATGTAACACAGTTGAGCGTACCCCCTGTGGTGTGGGAGGCTTTCTATAAATGTATTTCCTGGTTTTCAGAGGTTAACGTTTAGCCAGTTTCTGGATGGGCAGGAGACAGCACTGCACAACCCTAATCCTGCTTTAACATTTGCACTAAGCTGGAGTGAGGGTTAAAAAAAAAAGTACAAATTGGGATAGCTCAGTGGTTTGAGCATTGGCCTGCTAAACCCAGGGTTGTAAGTTCAATCCTTGAGGGGGCTATTAAGGGGTCTGGAGCAAAAAAAAAATAGTTGGGGATTGGTCCTGCTTTGAGCAGGGCGTTGGACTAGATGACCTCCTGAGGTCCCTTCCAACCCTGATATTCTATTCTATATTCTGGAGGGGGGCAGTTTAGCCACCTCTCTGCTCTAAAGAGCGTACAAGGCATTTCTTGCTTGGTCACTCAGATTTTGGCTATGAATAATTGGACCAGCCCCATTAGCGACAGACACATGCGGTGTGGGAATGGGAGACTGAGGCTTTTCCTTCAGTCCACAATAATAACTGTAAGAGATGTCCTGCTTGAGTCAGGCTTTGCTTCAGCAACACTTCCAGGGAGCGAGAATCAATGGGTGGATGTTTTGGTCTTATTGGAGCAAAGTGAATGATGGGGAGAATAATCCACACGTCCATTTGCATTTGAAATGTGTTATCGATTCAGCCATGTCTGTGGCCCTTTCCTGTGAGCTTTCCATCAACTACTGAGCACGGAGCTTCACTAACAGGAGTATTCATAACAAGTCAATGTTTAGATGACTCTGAATTGTAGGTTCGATTGCAATGTTTGAAGGTCATGCTATATGTTGGCTAGTTCCATAAGCCATCCAATCAGAGAACAGAAACAAGGCCATGTGGCTTCAGTATCTTTCCATGCAGGCATTCGTTTCAGAGTCCAAATATTGGACACTCACAAGGAACTCTTTGTGAGCTGCTGAGAGAGAGAGAACTTCACAAATAATTTTAATCAACAAATAAACTCAGCAACGATACAGTAGGCTCTAGTCCATCGTTGTCCATAACTTTTGACACCCTCAGCCCTTCTTTCCTCACTTTTATACTTTGTTCATCACTCCTCCCACTCCACAATCTGCTCCACCTTTGACTCCCATACCCTACTTTCCCCATCATAAAGTCCATCCCACCAGCCCACAGCCCTGGTCTCATGTGGGTGGACACCTCGAGAGAGTGCCATGAGCATGCCAACTTCCTCCACTACAGGGTTGGTCTCTCCTCCTTTAGATCTGCCATCTTCTTGTTCAAAGAACGACACCTTCCTTCCTCATCCCCTACCAACAATCTCCATAATTTATTTGCAACATTTAACTTCCTCATTAAACCCACCAAATGACCTACTCGTCTGTCTGTATCCAGGATCGTACCAGCTTCTCCACAGAGAAACAAACTTGGCCAAAATATACCTCTTCTTCTTCCCTCTCCCTGCCCAACCACCACTTCCTTCCCCTATCATTGGCCTTGAAGTCTCCCACCTTATCCCCATGACTAACTCTCCATCACCTGCTCCAGTGACCCTGTCCCTTCTCACCTTCTTACCTCAACTGTCCCTGTACTAAACCCCCTCCATCGCCCCTTTTGTCAACCTCTCACTGGCCTCTGGCTCCTTCCCCTCACAAGACAAGCTTGTCATGGTTTCTCCTATCAAACACCCATGCTCAGCCCTGCCTGCCTCTCCAACTACTGCCCCATCTCTCTTGGCTCCTCCATCTCTAAACTCACCAAATGGACTGTCGACAGCTAATGGATCGAATTCCTCTTTTCCAGCTCCATCTTGGACCATTATTCTCTGGCTCCCAACGTTTCCACTCCACTGAAACAGCTCTCATTAGGATCTCTCTTAACCTCTTTCTCCTCAGATCCTGGGGTTTCTCTGCTCCAGCCTCATCCTTCAATCTCTCTGCTATTCCTGAAACTATCAATTCTCCTTTCCTCCTTGACAGATTAACCTCACTGGACTTTTGAGACAGGGTCCTCTCCTAGAGCAGGGGTGATTCAGGGAGTTGGGGTAACACTAGGCAGTGGAGATATCAGTGTGGGAGGAGCGGTCAAAGAGATGGGGAAGCAGGGAGATGCCACAAAGCTGCAGAGCTGCTCCTCAGCTGTCTCTCCAAAGGGCTGAACCATCTTAGTAGCATTCTCAGCCCTTTGTCCACCCAGTGAAGAGACAGGGGCAGAGCTCTGCCTGCTACACTGATTGAGGGGCTGGGCTGCCCCCCAGCATGTGTAGCTACTCAGATTGGCTACCTTCCCCAGGAGGTGGGGAATTGCGGAAGAGTAGCCAATCAGATAGGTATTTTGTAGATTTTTGTCCATTAGGGTGAGGAAAATCTGTAGTCACTGGGAGACCAATAGAGTTGCAGCTCTGAAGATAATTAACTAGAGGGTCATATGCCTGGTTCAGATCTGATTGGGTAAGAGTGTCCGCTGTGGTGTGAGAGGAGCAGCGTAAGCAGACAATTATTCAGCTAGAGGTTTGATTCACTTTTTCTTTTTCCTCTTCCAGGGGACATGGAACATCCTGCATCAGTGTCTGATCCTCCCACTGGTTAGTTCATCCTTCAGGGTGTGGGGAGTTGTCCTGTTTGCAGCACAGAAAGTAGAAGGAAAAGACTCATTACAGAGACAGTGGCAGAGCTAGAAAGGGAACCTAAGAGTCTGAGTCCTCTCTGGGACTAATCCCTAGAACTACCTCCTTTTCCCCCTCAGCCTCCACCTGCTCAGACGTAGAAACAAACTCCCAAACTCCCCAGACTCCCCTAGACAGTAGAACCTCCCTGACCACGGAGGGGAGCGCAGAGGCACTGACGTTTGATCTACAGAAGGGTGAGGGTGGGAAAGGGAGGGTACCCAGGCCTGGGTGGAGGCATGGCTAGACTGTATAGTTTGTTTCTCTTGTTATAGGCAGAAGCACAGGGAAAACAACAAGAGATTTCCTGGTAAATACCTTGGATGACTTGGGAGAGAGCGAGTTGAAGAACTTCAAGAGCAAACTGACCGACATTGATCTGAAGGAGGGATATGACCACATACCTAAAGGGAAACTGGAGAATGCAAAGTCTCTAGAGGTCACTGACCTCTTGATTGGACACTACACAATGGATTATGCATTGGAGGTGACCACGACCGTGCTGGAAGCTATCAACCGGAAAGACCTGGCAAGGAGATTAAGAAGCGTAACAAGGACTCGTCAGGAATCAGCCAAGGGCTGGCTCTGCCTCTCTGTACCTCAAGGTGTTACCGAAAAATACCCATATTCACCACTGTTATATAATTATGATAAATTTTGTACAATGCATGTGTCAAGGCTGAATCCCCACTCTGTCACTTTGAGTATAGAAGGTGGGGTCCGCAAGGATTTTAAAATTTAATACTTGCCACTCCAGGCTTGTATTAAACCCCCAAGGTTACAGCGTTTCTCTGACTTTGGCTTGGTAAATGCTACCACCACCCAAATGCAAAAAAAATCCCCTTGGTCCCAGGAAGGAGCACTTGGGAATTCCTCCCTCAAGCCCTTTCACCCCCCTCTGGGGAAGAGCTGAGAAAGAAAACAAAGGAAATTAGCTGTTGCTATGAGCTAATCAAACAGCATACACAAACCTCTTAGGACACCAAAAATCCAATCCTGTTCTTAAAAAAGGGTAAATTTTATTAAAAACAAAAAGGAAGAAAATACATCTGGGACTTAGGCTTTTGCTAGATTTAAAAAGAGCAATTCCAAAAACTAGGCACCCAAAATAGCTTTCTTGGGGGTTCAGCTTAAAGGTTACAAGCAAACAAAAGCATCCGGGGTTAGCACAGAGGAGTCCACAAGCCAATAAGAAATAAAACAAATAACCCTAATCACATCTTTTTAGACATTCCCTAATTTTACTTACATATTTGAGGCTTCAGATAAGTAGGTTCGAGGTATGAATTGATAATCTATAACCATACCTGGCTTAAGCTGCTTACAGCATTGCTTCTCCATCTCTGCAATCCAGAGAACAACAGACAAAGGGGAAGTGTCTTTCCCAATTTTAAAAATTGCCACCTTCCCATTGGCTTTTTTGGTCAGGTGTCCACTCCTTTTCTTTTATGGGCTTGTTAACCCTTTACAGGTAAAGCAAGCAGGGAACAGACCAAGAGGGATTTTACAGCTAACTGACTGGCTGGGTGTCCATCAAGGGGATCTACTCCCCCCCTTCATTTATAACACCATTTCTCCTCAGATCTTGGGGTCTCTCTGCTCCAGCCTCATCCTTCAACCTCTCTGCTATTCCTAAAACTGTCAATTCTCCTTTCCTCCTTGATAGCTTATCTTCACTGGGCGTTTGAGACAGGGTCCTCTCCTAGGTCAGGGGGGATTCAGGGAGTTGGGGTAACACTAGGCAGTGGAGATATCAGTGACAGAAGAGTGGGCAAAGAGATGGGGAAACAGGAGACATCACAAAGAGGAGGGGCAGCTCCAGAGCTGCTCCCCAGTTGGCTCTGCAAAGAACTGAAGCATCTTAGTAGCAATCTCAGCCCTTTGTCCACCCAGAAAAGAGACACCGATTGCGGGGCTGGGCTGTCCCTCAACATGTGTAGCTACTCGGATTGGCTGCTTTCCCCAGGAGGTGGGGAACTGGGAAAGAGTAGCCAATCACATGGGGATTTGGGGGATTTTTTCCATAAATGGGTGAGGAAAACCTCTAGTCTCTGGGAAACCCATAGAGATGCATCTCTGAAGATAATTAATTAGAATGTCATGTGCCTGGTTCAGATCTGATTGGCTAAGAGTGCCCACTGTGGTGTGAGAGGAGCAGCATAAGCAGACAATTATTCAGCTAGAGGTTTGATTCACTTATTCTTTTTCCTCTTCCAGGGGGCGTGGAACATCCTGCATCAGTGTCCGATCCTCCCTCCGGTTAGTTCATCCTTCAGGGTGTGGGGAGTTGTCCTGTTTGCAGCACAGAAAGTAGAAGGAAAAGACGCATTACTGAGACAGTGGCAGAGCTAGAAAGAGAACTAAGAGTCCAAGCCCTCTCTGGGACTAATCCCTAGAACCACCCCCTTTCCCTCCTCAGCCCCCACCTGCTCAGACGTAGAAATAAAATCCCAGACTCCCCTAGACAGTAGAACCTCCCCGACCAAGGTTGGATGTGAGGGGAGCGCAGAGGCACTGAAGTTTGATCTACAGAAGGGTGGGGGTAAGGAAGGGCAAGTACCCAGGACTGGCTGGGGGCATGGCTAGACTATATAGTTTGTTTCCCTTATTATAGGCAGAAGCAGAGGGAAAACAACAAGAGATCTCCTGGTAAACACATTGGATGACTTGGGAGAGAGCGAGTTGAAGAACTTCAAGAGCAAACTGACCGACATTGATCTGAAGGAGGGATACGACCACATACCTAAAGGGAAACTGGAGAATGCAAAGTCTACAGAAGTCACTGACCTCTTGATCAGACACTACACAGTGGATTATGTGATGGAGGTGACTACAATAGTGCTGGAAGCCATCAACCGGAAAGACCTGGCAAGGAGATTAGGAAGCGTAACAGGGACTGGTGACGAATCAGACTGTGCCTGGCCGTGCCTCCCTGTATTTCAAGGTGTTTCCCACAAATACCCATATTCACCACTGTTATATAGTTATAAGTTTTGTACAATGCATGCCTTGCAAGATATTTTAAAAGTCTTTATCTTTTGAACATTAATATCCTGTTAGATTGCATATGTTCTCATTGTATGTGAAGTTAGTGAAGTTTTGCTATGTGTCTGTTACTGAAATATAGTGTGAGGTTGGGAACACCCCAACCAGCCTTTCAGGTAAAACAATGGAGAAGCCAGACAGTGGTTAATGATTCATCAACACCCATCAAGGAAAGAATCTACTATCCCAGAAACTGTAGACAATGGAGACTTCTCAAAGGGATCATGCATACAATGGAGACTGCTTGACCACTGAGGACTGTCTGTTCCCCATGTCATAGCAAAAGATCTTTCCAGCAAGCTGGAAGAAACTATAAAAGAGGGGAAGTGACATGATCACTTTCCCCGCTTCCTCCCAACTCAACACCTGGAGGAATGTCTAGAGGACAAAGACGTTGAACTGAGGAAGGGTGGTCTCAGGCTGGAAAAGAGTCCCAGCCTGTGTATTGAAGATCTATGACCAGCTTGTACCATCCTTCAGGATGAGACACTGCTTGATTCAAATCCTATTTAGTTTGTGCGAATATATTTTTATTTTTAAGTAACCAACTTTGATCTCTACACTTGCTACTTATAATCACTTAAAATCTACCATTTTATAGTCAATAAACCTGTTTTATATTTTACCTAAAACAGTGTGTTTTGGTTGAAGTGCTTGGGAAATCTCAGCTCAGTTTACACAGGCGAGTGTGCGTCCTCTCCACATTGAAGGACAGGCGGAGTCGGTAATGAACTTAGACCGGGCAGGCTTCTGACCAGTGCAAGACAGCACAGTTCTGGGGTGCATGACTGGGGAACTGGGTGGAATTAGCTGGAGCCTCCCTATTGATGGTTCATGAGAGGCTAGGAGCTCATTCATGTAACTCAGCTGGGTGTGTCCCTGCCTGTGGATGTCTGTGTAAGTGCAGTGCCTGTTAGAGGTTTGTGGCTTGACACAGCATCACAGAGTGAGAGGGACACCCCGGGTTGGGAGAGAGGGCTCAGCGGTCCCACAGTCCAGGTTGCACCCCAGGGACCCATCACAGAAGAGCTCAGCCTTGTTTCTATACAAGGAGCCCACTGCATTGTCTTCTTCGCAGAGAAGACCCAGAGGCCCATGGAGCTCAGTATCCTGTCTCTGACAAGGGCCAGCACCAGTGCTCATTATCCACATAAATGTCTAATCCTTCTTGAATTCAGCTAGGTTCTGGGCCTCACGTGTACCTTGTGGCAGGGAGTTGTCAGGCCTTAAAATTAGTATTATTATTTTATACGAAGCCCAGTTAGCTTTGATCCATTTTAAAATTTGCTGCCTTTCAGTTCAAGTGTCCCCCTGTTCTTGCATTATAGAAAAGTGTGACTAGAAGTGCCCAGCCCACCTTAGGTTTATAGAATGGCACAGGAATATTTTCAGTATTATTTTTCGTTCCTTATGCAGCCCACTCATTTGTTGTTGTATTTTTTAGTATTATACCTCATTATGCTTTGCAAGATCAGGTATCAAGGTCAGTGTTTCTCATATATTTACATGGCCATTAGCTGTTTTAGTCTATAAAAAATAGTCCGTGTTAATACAATAGTAAAAATGCACTGTTAACACCTAGAACGTCCCAGAATGGCAATGATAAGGAGGACTGGGGAACTCTAACTCTGCCCCTTGGTGTCTTTGCTCTACAATGCAGGGGGACTTTCAAGCATCTCTTCCAACTGTTGACCTGTCCCCCATCCCAAACTGCTGCTACATCTCGCTGCTCCCAGGGAAAAGGTCTCTGATTTCTGATCCATCCCCCAGCGCTAAACCACTGATCCCACCCTCCTGCTGGCGACTGTCCATCTGTCCATACCCTGGACCCAACTCTGGCTGCCTCTTGGCCTGTTGCAGTGCAGGCAAGAGCTGCAAGCAAAGAGGCAACCAGGTGACTGTGTTAAGCCGGCAATGTTCCGGGGAGGGTCAGCATTACAGCTAGCTGTCCTGGGCCCTGCAGTATTAGCCCTCGCCCTGCCGGTCAGTACAGCTTCTCTTTTGTAGCCTCAGACACCCAGCCGGCCTGGCCATACACTGTAGTGGAGAACATGGTGTCACAGTTTTGGGGTAACTGTACCTTTGACTCCTCCCTCCACGGTCTGGTCCAGAAGAGCCCTCTCAGGTTTCTAGCCATCACCTCTCTCTGGGCAAAGTCCAGCCTGCACGTGTTGCTTTTTTCCCCAAGGACACTGTTTTGCCAGTCACCAACCGGCTCGCTCAAAGCACAGGACATTTATTTAAAGACACAAAGAAAACATATAAAACAACACCAAAGGCTAAACACACATTAAAAGTACCAGAAGTCGCCCATCAGGACTGTGGCAGGCCTCAGTTCTGCCATCCTTTCCACAGACTCAGGTCCCCCTTGGATAAAAGATCATGTACCTCTGTTGAATCAAAAAGAAGGCCCCTCTCTCAGGGCTTGTCTACACTTGAAACGGTACAGCGGCGTGGCTGCAGCACTGGGTACCCCGTCAGTGTAGACACTACCTACACTGATGGGAGAATCCCTCCCATCAACATAGGTAACCCACTGCGCTGAGAGGCTGGAACTTGGTGAACAGAAGAATTCTTCCAACCGCCTCACACTGTCTATGGGCATGTCTACATGTACAGCGATGACCGATGCAGCTGTGTCGCTGCAACACGTCTCAGGAAGTCGCTGCATGCTGAAGGCAGAGAGCTCTCCCACCAGCATAATAAAACTACCCGTGTGAGCGGCAGAAGCTATGTCAGTGGGAGAAGCTCTCTTGCTGACATAGCACAGTGCACTCGAGCGCTTATGCCAGCGTAATTTATGTCGCTCAGGGGGGTGGTTTATTCACACTCCTGAACGACATAAGTTTTGCCGACATAAGATGTAGTGTAGACATGGTCTATATCCGGGTTTAGGTCAGCTTAATGACATCACTCGCGGGAGTGTGTGTGTGGATTTTTCACATCCCTGAGTGAGGTTGTTAAACTGACCTATTTTCTCACATAGACCAGGGTTCAGTTCAAGCTGGCCCTTTTTACACCAAAAGCCCTTCCTTTGTCTCTTTGGTCTCTGGTACCTGGTTGAACAAGTCTGTGCAAACCACCCTGGGGCTGGTACTTCCATGGGGCTGTTTATAATCCCAGGGATTGCAGGAATCACCCCTCACCCCCATCAATTGTTCCTGGCGGAGTTGCGGGAACCCTCCCCATGCAGACACAGGCCCTAGCCCAGGACAGTACTTAGAACATTCATTCATTTAATACAAGATGGTCCCAAAAGATACGGCACGTGGTTGCAATATCGGTCACTCAAGGGAGATAACAACCACTGACCCTCCTGAGGAGGTGACTCTGTCTCCTACTCAGCTGAATTTCTAATCAACTGTGCTGCTCCCTAATCTGGAT